ATTGTTTGCAATTGGTGCTTCGTTGGGGTCTCGCAAAAACACGATGGGACTGAATGCCTGCGATTCGAACCAAACCCAAGTCAGCTCGACTACCAGGTCGAGAATGCAAGGCCAGTACGCTTACTGTGGCTTCTACGACATCTTCGTGACCAACCATCGAGTTTGGACTTTTGAATGTGCCACGCTCAATCACGGCAGCTACAAAAACTGGTCCATTCATCGAGTTTGGCGTGACAATGTACATGCCCTCGGGCGACCAGCTGTTGCAGTAATACGAGTCGGGAGACGATCAGCTATACGTGTTGTTGAGCAGTCGATCGAAGTCAAAACTTACGACAGGCGAGTGACCGTCGTTTTGGGCGCAAACTCGAATGGCTTCGACACCGACGCGTGCAAACCCCAATCCCTAGTCCTCCACACCTTGAGCGTGTTATCATCAGACTGTACGCAAGAGACCGAAGATGTTAATGTGAGGTTCAGGGCCGCCATAGGCTGCAAAGCTGGCACGCTACGCACGAGTGAAGCGAGGTACTCTCCGATCGGGTCAAACACGACACCTTTGACGAATCCGAGATGACCATCGAGGCGTCTCAGTAGCTCTGATAAGTGTTCATGAACATTGATCAGTCACCTGAGCGCCAGTTCTGCACCTACGCCACAAGCTCACGAAACGTCGAACCCGACCAAATCATGACCGTGTTGTCCAAACCTGCCGAAGCCAAGTAAGCATCATCTGGACTCCAGGCGACTCCGGCCACGTCTGTTGGACGTTGTGCTATCAGTATAGCAATGGAAAACTTGAGCAAGGACATGGCAGGTGCACGGCTGACCAGAATCGTGTGCGACGCAACGTCGGACTGCCTTCCAGTTCTCAACGTTGGTCTCTTCGGTTCCCCATACGCGTCCGCCTGTGCCGCTACCAGCAGCAAATTTGATATATAAGCATGGGCAAGCTGGAGCGAGATGACAAACGCCAACAAGAGGGCTAGCTTACCCTTCCAAAGCCCAGATCATGACCACCTTGTCGTCCGAACCACTCGCCAAGAATGCTCCCGAATTTGACCATCTGACGCACATGACCGGTCCTAGCAGAGAAACATCAACCAGAATTGTGTTAGACGGGTAGTCTCCTGGCTGTGGTCTGTGTGTCTGAGGTCGATTCGCGGCCATGGTTGGATGACCCCGATCCAAGTCGCGTCTATCCCAGCTCACCTGCGTGACTCGTCAACGTTGACAGCAATTTAGGTTTGCCATCGTCCTGACTGTCATTCTTGTTGTCGTCATCATCATTGTCTGTAATGACGGGTTGATCGAGGATCGTTGAAGTTGACCAGATTCGAATCTTTGTATCCAAACCGCCTGTGGCCAACCTTGATTTGTCTGGATGGACATTCAATGTGTACAGTGTTTGAGGTGCTTTGTGTTGATCGTCGCTTGGATGCACGACCCAAGTCGGCTTGACGACGCGCATCGACGGGCTCTCGCTCGCTCGTGTCGCGCGCGGCGTAGAAAGCCAAGTCGCGTCTCGATTGCAAACGGAAAACGCGCGGCTGTTGTTACTTGTACGAAGAGCTAAGAGATGTACAATCATAATAGTTTTCTCGACGCAAGAATGGATTTCATGACGTGCAACACGCACACTCACACACACGCACACACATATGCGCACAAACACAAAGCCAATTCTAACGAAGCTCGTTACCGCAGGCTCATCACGCCTGCACCGACGTACTCGGTTTGACAACAACGGCACAGCCTTGCTCCCACTCTTGACCCGTCATGGCAACCTTGTTGACGGCCTCGCTGAAAGCTTCGAGCGTGCACACTGTTCCATTCGAACCGGGCAAATGTTTGCCGACCGCTTGACAAGCCGGTAACGAGACTGATTTAGCGTTGAAAAGCAGGCGAACATAGTGTTGCTGACTGGATCCCGGTCGTAGGAACGAAGGCACGAATGACGACAAGAAGGAAGCAGACGATGACGCGGTCGAAGCTGACTTTGATCGAAACAGTTCTGCAGTGCGAATCCATTTGTCAGAATACAAAGATAGTCATCGGCAGCCGTAGCTCGTAAAGCAGCACTCACCGACCGCCAAGTGAGACGTGAAAGGCGGCCACCGTCCATCAAACGCGTCGAGTGCATTTCTTTGCCGAAACCCACAATCAAGTCAACAATCTCCTTTGCACACGTTCGACAGGCCCGGTCGCCTCTGGAGTAGAGAAGACTCACAAGATACCACCAACAGATGTATCGTGACAGGCGTAGATGGCCAACTTTGTTTTTTCTGTCCTTTCAGCAACATCGGCCGCCTTTCGTTGCAGCGTGGCGTTCAAGTCACCCAGCAATCTGCCCATGGCAAGTTTGCGAAATTCGTTGTTGGAGTAGACATCGAACCTGTCCGTTTGAGTCCTTGTCTCAATCAGTGCGATGTACAAGAGATGACGACACATGTAAGCGCACTGACCATTCGTGAACGACAGCCGCTTCAAGCGTTTTCAAAATTCTCGGATCCTCAAACTCGCTCGGAACTCGAATACCATGAGCTCGAGCGACGTAGATTGTGTCCAACACTGACGACGCGGCAGGCTTGCCGTCTATCCTCAACGATCTGTCAAGGAAATCCGGATAAAATCGATACTCAGTAGAATGATCTGTGTCTCTTGGCATACAAATGAGCTCACGACTTGATGTATTTTCGCACGAGAGGATCAATTTCTGCCAGAGAGTCGTTGTAATTGTCGGCCGCTTTTTTGGCTCCAGCTATGTCGATTGCGCGCATTCGTCTGCATCCGTCGCACGAAGCAACCGTCAGCTTTGAAAAGGTCGCACACGCACAACATCAGAAGCGATCCAACTTGCGGGCATAGCGAGTTCGGGTACAAGCTCTCGTCATTGGCATTCCTGACAGTGTATTCGACCGGACCTTGTCTGTAGCCCTCTGGAAACAAACCCACTGCAATTTGATGCAAGCTCTCGATTGTTCTCATCATCCCAGTGGACCTGAAAGTGACAGGATTGTCTTGCACTCGAACGTCCGGCAACGTTGACGGCAAGAATTGCAATCGATCGACATAAAGTTTCCTTAACAAGGTACCGAGCGTCAAGGTTGACTCTCGACCTAAATCAGTCAATTCACCCCAATAACAATCTGACATCCCACCCTTGATTGATTCGTTGCCATCGCCTTGCTGTTCTGTCAACCTTCTGACATTCAACACTGATGGTGCAAGTCGAGCTCGTCGTCGTCGACTTGCACCCTCGACATTGCCAATGACTTCTCGCTCCTCGTTCTGATAACTTGAGCCTCGATCGACCTCGGCACCCTCAAAAGAGTGCACCTTTGTTGATGCCGTGCCATTGTCAATGTCATCTCGGACGAGCTCAGGCCTCTGTGTTGAAGCCCGAGTGACGTCCAATACGGCGTTTGAAAATTGTCGACCGGCGGCACACAGTTGGAACACAGATGGAATGTCGCCAACACCCGTCAACCTTCTTCTGACGGCTAATATGTGACGACGGCAACGAAGGCGGGCAGAGCGAGCCGAGCGACCGAGATTAATGATTGAATCGACGAGACGTGAGAGCATTGGTGCCATGTCAGCATCGTGAAAGGCGATCGGCACGTGATCAAAGACTGGACTGACGTGATCGTTCACCATGTCGAACAAACCAATGAGCCTGTACGAGCTGCAGACCAGTAGGATTCCATTCGCCAAGCTTGCTCTCGATCAAATGAGCGTTCGGTGGCGTCCCTCGCTGATGAGGGTGATGAATCTGTCCCTCATACGACATTGTCCGACGCGCGAATAAACAGTTCGATTAGGTCGGCAAGCGACGTCGATGGTGGCCCGTGCGGAAATCACGCGCGCTCTCCGGCCCGGATCGACATGCATGCGGATGTAGGTAAATCATCCAGCGTCCGACTAGATCACTTGCGTTATTGGAAAGACAAGCTACCCCTGGGTCCTCCCGACAATTTCCAATTCTTAGTAATACCAATGCATGCCCGACTTGCAATTGAGCTTCTATGATTGCAGCGCTTGCGCTTACAAAACGATTAATGATTGAATAGGGACAGCTCCCTGAATCCAGGTTTGAACGAGAAAGTGCATTGCCTTCTGAAACGTGACGCCATAGGTACAGAGGCCCTCTCGAGCATCACTCAGCCGACATCAGATTTCACCAGCAACTGTGTGACAATGACAGTGCAGTGCTGCTCAGCGATGCACAAGCCGCATATCTAGATCTGCCGCCACAAGATCATTTGCAGTGTCCGGCAAAGCCTCGTTCCTTCCGATAGTCATCGAATGTGTAACTGAGTCTGAACATCGATTCGCACTTCAAAGCTTTCAAAGCTCGTACTCATTTGTGTCAACAAAGCTTTTCACCTGCTCTTCGAGAGAAGTGAGTAAGCTCAGACTATCAAGTATCTTCTGTCTCAACAAATGAAATCTTGCAATTCTCTTCTGGCAGTCAATCAGCTGTCATCGAGCCCTCGTTCGTCTTCAACTTCAAGCGCTTATGTTTGCCTGCGTCACTGCGTGCGACCGGCACTACGCCTACTTCAGAGGGTCAACCGTGATCGTCATCATGAGTTCAAGTGACCTAGACGCTTGTCACTTCACAGAAAGCACGTTGATACATCGGTCGAGGTGTGAAATGTTTTTGATCGCACAAATGGAGCTTCGATTCTCGAATTCAGAATTAAGAGTATAAGCAGACTTTTGTCATTAACGACTTTTTCGATTCGCTGCAAAGCCCATAAGGTGTGATTGGGTATCGTCGCTCGACTCGGGTCGCAAGCCATCGTGGTCGACGGCGTGCACTCAAGTTGTGCTTTCAAGGCCTCGGCCACCTACCAGACAGAGCACGAGCAATTCTCTGAGCTCGAACAAGTGCATGTCAGATGACAAAAAAGGTTTCAGCGCCACGCACCTCCTATTTTATGCTGCGCATGCATGAGGATTGTATTGTTTTTGCTGATTTTCGGGTCGACGTCGCTCCGTTAGTATAGTGGTTAGTACGGGACGTTGTGGTCAAAGTCGCATTTGACAAATCCGTCCAGACGAGGGTTCGATTCCCCCACAGGGCAAGAGTTTTTTTTTTGCAGCATTCGTTCCTGCGACTTTTGTGAGATACGTCGGCCTTTGGTCTCTCGAGTCAATGTTCTGCATACACGTGTCGTTTCCTTTGGCGTTGTGCAGCACAGTCCACTGGTCGATGGTCGTATCTCGATAGCCCTCGCAGCTCTTCTCGATTTCAACGACAATGTAACGCAGCTCGCCCGCACGGGTCTCCTCCTTCTTCATGGTCTGCGAGAATAAGCACCTTGAATATATGAGGATACAGCACGACAACCATCCCGCCAATTTTTCTGTGTCGTGAAAAGCGTAGATGTTTGCGAGGTTGTGACGAATTCTCGAACGCGCGTGCTGCACGAACCAAGGTTGCCACTGATGATCATTCGGCCTCGCACAAGCCATGTGCATACTCACAAGCTGTAATAATTTTGGAAGGAGAGCAATTGAATGACATCAACTACACATGGCGTCTGGCTCAGATTCTGGCTCCTGTCCATGTCTTGGCGATTTACAACAACGTGCAGCCGCTGGAGAGACTGACTTTCATCGAATCGAGTCGCAGACTTGCTGCAAGGGTTCTTTGATCTCTCTCACGAACTCCTGGATTGTCAGATCTACAGCCTCATTGAAGGAGGACGACTGGGTCAGGACCGACAAGCTTTCGCAATAAAAGGCACATCGAATCAAATGCAAAACAAATATCAACATATCCCTCTAGGCACAGCCAGTCAGAGTCTACAATTGACCTTGTCTTGATAATAATCCCTGTTCAAACATGATTTCGAGAGCCTTGTCTCGTTTTGGTCCAGATTGAAGTGCAGCTTCAAACCGAGCCAAATAGTCGCAGTGACATTCAGAATCATTGTCACTACTGCCATCTTCAACGTCGTCGTCAATCTCGACCTCGTCGTCTTCCTCGTCAGAGTAGGCACTTGAGGCACTGTCTGACATGCTTGAGCCTGAAGTCGTTTCTTGATCAGAAGCTGTTGCTTGGTCAGCAAAGTCAACCCTCGAATGTAAGTCACCAGTACGAGCGAGATTTGACGATGGCAAAGTTGTATTCAATTCCGACTGTCCCATTCGAGCTTCAGGCGTTGGTGAGCTTGGCGCTGGGTCATCACTGTCATGCTTGGCCCCCGCTGCCTCAACGTTCGACGAGCCAGTCGAGATCGTCCCTTCAACCAATCGGAAAGCCGTTGCAAAAATATTGTAAGCCGCCCGCACGTTGACGTTGGCGGGTGTCGCCAAAGGTGTTGCCTCCCCGCTGCCCGAGTTTGGCTCGCTCAGAGCTGGCAACCAGTCCGATTCGTCCGACTCATCATCAGCATCCATACCAGCATCGGGAAAGGCGCCGAACAACTTTTGAAGATCATCCTCGGCGATGAGCCCATGCAGTCTCCCAATGCAATCTCGAGATCGTTCACCTTCGCTGACTTGCGATTCGGCGTCAGAATCGTATTCGTCGTCCGTGTCCATGGTCTCAGAAGATGACAAAGAGGTCGCTTCGCTAGTCGTCGCGTCTGACGCTTCCTCTTCCATGGCGTCGTCACTGTCTACCGTCGACAAATCCGAGTCGAACCGACCGAAGTTGAGGTACACATTGTCGTCCGACTCGTCTGGCTCATGCTCCCTGAACAAATCGTCCATTTCCTGAATCTCTTGCAATTCTCTTTGAGCTTGTTGATCAGACGTGTACACGCTGAAAGCGAACGCGAGCACACGTAAGCGATTTCTTACAGTGTATTCTGCTCTGGCCTCAAGGGCCGAGATGGCTTGTTGCAAATCAATCGGTCGATCATTGACGGCAGTGCCAAACAGTCCAGCAAGACATTCGTCTTTCGTGTCTTGGCGAGTGATAGCGAGAAAGATTGCCTGAGCCCTGTTCAATCTATATTGACGTCGAACATGTTGTGCATAAGTGTGGTTGAATTCGAATATTTGTCCACAAGCAAGCGTGTGCGAGTAGTGCTGTCGACCAATCACTTGTCAGCAGCGAAGTCGTGCAATCTCAAGTTCAGCACCTGCGAGCTCACGCATTCTTTGCCTCTGGGGCACCAGCGTTGCTCCGGGGGTGATGAAAGCAAATGTCTGCAGATTGTCGTGCCGCGCTTAGCTGCAGCAAGTACACACTCGCGAGTCAGCAAGAGTCGAGAGAGAGACGGTGGTTACAGAGTTCGAGCTGACCTTTGCGTTGCTCGAAGAAGCGAGTCTTGGCTGGACCGTCAACCAGGAACACGCTGGATAGACGAGAGCGTGAGTACCATTTCACTAGCTGCACGATTGGGCGCAACGGATGACTGACTCGCTCGAGATGACCATCGCCACCTGCCGCCTGCAGGTCGGGCAGTTTTGCGTTGGCTTTGCCTCGTCGCTTGATTGTTCACCTCGTGGCTCTTGCCACGTTTTGATGCAATCCAGACAAAATTCGTGAGAGCAGCAGTCTATGAAGAGGCCGCGGGTCAGTCAAGTTGCTCAAACAACAGAGACACGACGTGCATGCACGCAGCGGTCTCGGCTGGACTTACCGAGCAAAGCCCACCGCTGCGGCACCTCGTAGCATACACTGCACAAACGTTCCTGCGCCGTTACGGGATCATCAACTGATTGAGAGTTGTTCATAGATGTCATCTCATCTGTCTCTGCCATTGTCAGGCGCGTTGCCATGTCAATGCAGATCGTGCTTGAGCGTCCGTGCGGGGTGCCGTTCGGCCGGCTTTTGTTCTTGTTGACGGTAGATTCTGCGTGTCTCAGTAACCGAGTGCCGTCCAAGTTGAGGAGTTGAAGCCAGTAAACGAGTGTAATCAGTGTTGAGTCAAAGAATGTGGATGCGGCGTGTTGATAAAGAAACAGCGCGACACTCTCGCGAAACCCCAACTCGACAACGGCGCCTCTTCCTCTCTCATCCACACGACACAGGCCCCATACACATCCGTTCAACCCTGTTCTACCTCGTTTGCACCTGATCCTTACAGAACCAATCTTGGATCAACAATTGTACTGCTGAACATCCCTGGCTCAACCTCATCTCCAATCTTGCAACAAACCTCGCCACCACTGTCGTCGAATTGATTCGTGATATTATTACACCTGACGGGACGCTGCACTGCAACAGCCACATCTCACGGGGCGACAGGCCACAGACTGATTTCACGTCGCGTCGCGCAACGCTGAGTACTTGACGTGCCCTGCGGAGCATCGACTAGACGTGGTTCAAACTCGACCGTACACAGTGACTAGCCTGCAAGACCGACTGGCTCAGCCAGAGCAACGCGCGTCGCGCCGTCAGAACGTCGAGTGACGTCCGAACTCGAGTGCTCTGGGTTGCACAGTACCCATGACGTCTGATAGACCTTCAAGAGCGCAGTATGCTCCAATACCAGCATCAGATCTGGCAGACGTCTCGCAAGGTGACGGTCAAGCCCGTCCTGCGTTGTCCAACCGGCGATCGAGTAGACTTCGTCGCCACCAGCCTCGATCGCCTCTCTCGCAAGAACTCGACACCCTGTTTCGTAAATGGACTGCTACCATTACACAACGTATGCAACTCAAAAAGGGTCGCAGTAGGAAAGACAAGAGTGATTTGATCGACAACCGCGATAGGTCAAAACCGGTCGACATTCTCGCGAGCGTGTTTGAACCTTGGGCTGAACACAAAGACTTCCAGTCAGAGATCGACCGCACCGACACGTGCGCCGACAAAGGAAAATCCAAGGCAGAGAATGCGTCGACGCTCGATCATGAAGCGCCCATGACGCCAGAGCAATTTGACGAGTAAGGCCTGCCATCATCGTCTTTGGCAAAACATGAACTCATTTCTTGCATTTCCCGACAGGATCGTCAAAATTGTCAAGACAGCTATCGAAGACGGCGTTCATCCACGCTTGAACTCGAAAGGCTCGTCAGGCAGTTACTTTGCTCGTTCAACGTCGGGTCACACAGTTGCCATCTTCAAGCCAAAAGATGAAGAACCATACGGACGATTGAACCCAAAGTTGACCAAGTACATTCATCGCGTGTTCTTGTCCAGAGTCATTCCATTCGGACGATCGTGTTTGATACCCAACTTGTCATACTTGTCCGAGTCGGCAGCGTCATTGCTCGACAGGCGTCTCGAACTTCACATTGTACCTCGAACTCAAGTGGTGTCACTCAGTTCACCTGCATTCTACTATGATTGGATCGATCGGGAACGAGCAGGCAGAAAAGGACGGTTGCGCGAAAAGGAAGGCTCGTTTCAAATCTTTCTTCGAGGTTTCACTGATGCTAGTGCATTTTTGAGCACATATCCGATACCTGGACGACCTCTCGATCAAATTTATGAGAGTAAACCGCGTCGAAAAGGGCGTGTCAACTTGTTTGGACCTCTCACGTGTTTGTGTGGTCGTGCAGAGGCAGAAAGAGACAACGACGACGAATACGACGGTGATGAAGAGTCATTGGCTGAAGACAGATTCCAATGGACAGACGATATGCTCGAAAGTTTTAGACTCGAGCTCGAGAAACTCGTCATCTTGGACTACATCATTCGCAACACGTGAGCTTGCCATACAACGTGGGCGTCACATTGAAACTGACCCTATCTGAACGAATTGTTGCAGAGATCGAGGTTTGGACAATTTCATGATTAAAGCATGCACTTGCTCAACCCCTCGTGGCTCATCGACGCCCGTAACAACTACAGAACCACCCACGCCTCGACTACCAATGAGCCAAATCAAAGCACAACCGACACCTACAACCGGGGCCTCGGATCGTGATACAACATCGCACGCTTCTTCACGACCTCATGTACACGTTGCAGCGATCGACAACAGTCTGGCATTCCCTCACGCTCACCCAACTGGTTGGAGAACGTTCTCGTATGGTTGGCTCCTTCTGCCGTTGTCTCTCGTCGGTCGCTCTTTCTCAAACGAAACCAAAAAACATTTTCTTCCAAAGCTTACAAGTCCACAATGGTGGTCACAAACGACGCTTGAACTAAGAACAGAATTTGCAATGGATGTTGATTTCA